ATACGCAGACACTGAGCCGCAGAGGACTGGGTGAAAGCCATGTGCATCCCTCAGAGCCTGAACCACTGCATGTGAAACAGCGGTTTTGGGTTTATCAAGTCTCCACTTTGGCTCACTGCCTCAGTGGCACAGGTGGAACAGCAACTCTCCTTGAGGGACATGGGCCCCACCTTTGGGAGAGGAGAGATGTGCTTGTCCTGCAGGGGCCAGGAGAAGGAAGCTGCAGCCCTCAGTGGTAATTGCGACGGTCACTGCTGATGTGGAGGTGAGAGAGCTGTCCACGCCTAAACTCACAGACTTCCACATTCCGTGAGGAGCCTACTGCTAACAACCTAGTGTGTCATGCCAGGGACACAGGCTTCTCCCTCAGTAGGGTCTGCAATACCAACTGCTTGGTTACTGAAGGAAAAATAAAGTGACAAAGGGTTTTCTTTGTGAAGTGAGACTATTTGGTTCTGTGTTGGTTTTGTGACTTAGGATGACCCTTGGGAAGCAGTGGACAGAAAGTGCCCAGGTGGAGCAATGCTTGCCCACCTTACCACCTCTTTAGCACTCACCTGACAGTCCCTCCAGGTGAAGGCCCAGAAACTGCTTTGATGCAAACCCGTTACCAAAGAAAGAGCACTAACTTGGAAGGAATGTGACAGACCGGTTTCGTCCCCGCTATCTACCACTTGCTGACTCTGTCCTGTCCATAGAGATCATTTTTGCCACATAAAAAGCGATGTCGTGTTTGCTGTGCTTCAGCCACCTCAGCTCTGATGGGCATACCACCCTCCACAATGGTCACCCTGGAGCCTGCATCTCCTCTGAGGTCCCTGACCAGGCACCTGCCAGCAACTCAGGCCTTGGCAGTTCAGCAGTTACGTGGAAGAGAAAAGGAGGATGACCTTCTTGGTTTTTTGATGTGCTTTGTAAGAGGAGCTCCCAGCAGGTTAAACTGGGCCTCCTGATATGACACAAACTGGCAAAACAGCCCTTGGAACTCATGCACCAGGCTCTGGTCTCCACATTTAGACTAACTCTGCTAGAATGGGCTTCAGTAACAGCCCTAACTCTAGCCGCAGAAACACCTGCCTCAACTGATAGGCTCTTTGGCTAAACGAGGCTCAGTTTACCTGGGGTTTTCACCTCTGTGCAGTGTTCGCTCCCAGAAGTCCAGTAGCTGACTACCACAGTTGGGCTTCTGCATTCCCTTAGACATGTCTGTTCTCTTTCACACCAGAAGACCTCTTAGTAAACACCAAGTAAATGCAAGTATATTCTTACAGGAAACGCTGTCCCTTACAACGATGTACCAGGTATAATAACTAAGTCAAATATTTGGCTTTACAGAAATCCTAGTGAAAAGAAGATACGCCACACAGGTGTTTTATTGTCATCTTTATATTAGAACTAAAATTATTTTCTCCAATCAGATGCCGCAGAAATCCCTGACGTTGAGTGGCACAGGGCAGGTATGTCGTGGAACAGTCTGGAAAGAGATGATGCAGATGTGGATGAGGAAGCCTGGCCCCCACAGTGCTCAAAACCAAGGGGGATTTGTGGGCAACACCATAAGCTCTCCACAGTTCTGAGCTCTTATTTAGGTGAATGGGAGGTGATGTATGTGTTCTGGAGTTTGTAATTTAAAACAATTGTGAGCATACTTGATTCTAATTAGTTGGAGTAGATCAAGGGAAGAGGGATGATAAGGCATCTTCTTGAATGCAGAGCCCAGGCCCTCCCCAAATATCACACCTGCCAGGCCTTGGACTTCCCCACCTCCAGACCTGTAAGAAGTATTTCATCCTTACTCAATTACTCAGTTTCAGATATTTTATTATAGCAACATAAGACAGGCTAAAAGTCTACTGAATTAACATTTGCAATTTAACAAAATATCCACATGATTGATATGAACATTTAATTGAGAAGCAGTGAGTTAATATATTTTACCATGTGTATATAAAAACACAGAAAAACACAAAAATATAGGCAAAATTGAGATTGTGCAAAGGTATATAGCATTATTCAACTATTTACCTTAATCTTTCCTAATCCAAGAAATATTAAAACATCATTCTTATAATCTTAAATTTGAAGCAACTTTCCACAAATTGTTTCACAAAAGAAAATCAAAACAGCGTGGTATGTGTCTGCATATATATGTGTATGTATATATATATGTGTGTGTGTGTATATATATGTATATATATATGCTTAGGTTATAAAAGTCACATGAGAAATAAGAATTGCCAATATATATTTAAAATGTGTTCACAGTATCTTATATCAGAAAAACAGTAATTAAAATATTACATAATAGATGAAAAATTAAAAATATCTATAACATTCAGTGCTGGGTATGGTTTGGAAAAGGGGGCACTCTTTTTATGCATGCGTGGTGTGAGGTGGTAAACTGCTACTTCTTTTTTTAGAATGAAATCTGCTAGAAGCTATTAAAAAGAAACTTCATCTTTGTCTCAGCAATCCCACAGACAAAGATGCTGACACGTGTGGCTCACTACAGTGATGTAACCTACAACACTGTTTCCACTGGCCCAAAACAACATGCCTACTTATTAGTGATGGTTATCGAGTAAATTATGGTGCAGCAACCATGACAACACTACGAATTAGTTGTATATCTACTATCAGAGCAAAGTTCTTGAGGTATAACAACATTTGTGTTAGATGCACATGTAACTATGTCGACCAGTCTTATGCTTACTGTCTATTCCATGCTCACCTAAGTGTTTGCAAGTTAGTATGGTTCTGTTTATGCACACTTGATTAACAACATTTTATACACTTACATATGTGGATTTTTATAAACTCAAGCTTTTAAAGTCTTACAAACATAATTGCACAGGCTTTCTCATGGGGTGAGGAGAAGCCTGTGCAAGTTGGGGTCACCATGGGTCAGTGCTCCTCTCTGAACAGGTCTTCTCATTGGCCAGGCAGGATTCTAAGAACATCTGACCAGATTTGTGATCTTGGGCAAGTGTTTACCATGTCTGTGCTTTGATTTGCTCGTATGTTTCACAACAATGATCATGATGATAAAAAAGTAATAAACATAATATCTACCTCATAAAAATACTGTGAGGATTAAATGAATTAATGCATTCAAAATGCTTATAGAAGTGTCTTTTATTTCATACTCAATAAACACTACCTATTAAAATATACATGTCTGATGATAACTTTTGCCCTTTCTCCTTCCAAAGCTCAATGAGACAGCATATGTCAAAGTGACTCATCAACTGTAAGATGATGTTAACTTATTATCATCCTAAAAAACTATGTATTCTGGCAAATTATATTTATTAATTGATCTGATTTTCATTATTTCCTTTCTTTAAAAAAACTACGAAGTATTAGAAGAAATTTTAAATTCAAGTACTCAAGAAACTTGAGTATTTGAAACTCTTTCAGCCTATAATTGAAATGTATTTAATTTCCATCAATATCTGAACCAAAACACATTCCTTCCTCCTGTCGGGTTACTGGAAACTGCGTTTTATCAAGTGACATCTATGGCTGCCTTCATGACTCACTGAGGAGTCCAGCTCTTGGCTTATGGCAAAACAGTCTCACCTAATCCCTGCAGATGTGCCCAGAGGTTTTCCCTCACCCAGCCCTGGCTTTAATGTCACTTGGCTGCCTGGGAGGCTTTGGTGTCACAAAGCCACACCATTGCTGGGCTCTCTCTGTTTCTTGACATGCCACCATTAACTTTATTATTCTTTTCTTTTTCTTTAGTTTTTTTTCTCTTTTGTAAGGAGATATAATCTCCAAACCTTTCGTGTTATGAAGCAGGAGTTTTCCCCAAACACTGCTTTCTCATCTCCAGATATCTACTCCTAGCAGAATGTGCAGCTTAAAATGAACTTGGGTGCCTATTTTTCTGAATGAGCAGACGTAGCCCACAATGTTCTCAAGCTCAGGGACTATCTTAGGGAGTGACTCAGAGGCTTGGGCGCTTCCTCCAGCCTTGCCTTCCTTCCCCGGTCTGGCACCCCAGTCTTCTTGGCCTTTCTATCAGAAGCCTAGCTATGAATACTGTTAGGGCTTAAATTGTGTTCCCCCAAAAAGATATGTTCTAACTCCCAGTGGCTCAGAATATGGCCTTATTCAGAGACATTGCAAATATAATAAGCTACGATTCATATAGAGACATTGCAAATATAATTAGTTACGATGACATCATAATGGAGTAGGATCGGCCCTTAAACTACTGGGACCAGTGTCCAGGTAAGAAGAGAAGTGACACAGATATACAGAGAGACGTACAAAGTGGAAGGCCATGTGAAGACAGAGACTGGGATTGGAGTGGTGCTGCCGAGGACAGGAAGCACACAGAGCTCCACCAACCTGAGGAGGTAGGAAGGTGGGAAGGATCTTCCCCCAGGGGCCTTTGTTGTTGGAATTCTGGCCTCCAGAACTGGGGAGGGTTAAACAGATGTTGTTTTAAACCACTCAGTTCGTGGAATTTTGCTCTGACAACCTTAGGACAGACATCATTACTTTTTCCCAGGGAACTCCTAAGTCCATATGCAAAACGTTAAGTACCCACAAATGTGTCGGGGCAGGGCTACCTCCTAACCCCGGTTTCCAGCTCTAACGAGGTGCTGCCACCACTGACCTCTTTCTTCAAGCTTTGATTGGGAAGGAACCTCTATACACAGTTTGACAGGCGAGGCTACAAAATCTTTAAACTATATTGTAGGGTAATGTAAAGTTCCATACAAGAAAAAAGCAGATAGAAATCAAGTTTTCTTTTTTAATTTTCCCACAGTCCAGTTTTAGCAGTGTGGATTAATTTGTTTGATGGAAATGTTGAAATTTATTTAAAGACAAAAACATACCTACATGTAAATATGTTCCTCCATATTTAAAAGCCAATATTAATAATTTTTACATGACAGTTTGTGCCCCCTGTGACACTAATAATTGATATATAAATTTGTATAGAAAGTGTGACGACATTAGCACCTTTCTGGTTGATTACTCACCTCTGTGAATCCCCGCTGCTGTGTGCGGAGGTCCTGCCAGGCACAGATGGCGGCAGGAAGGAAGAGATTAGATGCAGAGGCAGGAAGAGTAATTTGTTGGGCTTGTCCTGAAAAAGAGAAGAAGAGCAGGAATGAGAGAGGAAGAAGGGGAGGCCCTCTGCGTGTGGGCAAGGCTGAACAGAGAGAAATCTGTGCCAGAGATGAGGCCAGAAAGGGCCGTACAGAATCAGAGTGCTGAACACACAGTTGTCTGAGTTAAATGCTCTGATGTAACTTCCTGTACCCATCATCTCTGTGTACAGCAATTCCCTCCTGCAAATCTTAAGAAAGATCTACCATGCTTAGGAAGACTTTGGATGAAGGATTGGGTACTGGACTTAGTGCCTGGGTGACAAAATTATCTGTACATCAAACCCCCCTGACAGAGTCTACCTACATAATATCGGTTTAACCCTCCCAGTGCTGGAGGCCAGAAGTCCAACATCAGAGGCCCCTGGGGGAAGATCCTTCCCACCTTCCTACCTCCTCAGGTTGCTGGAGCTCTGTGTGCTTCCTGTCCCCAGCAGCGTTGCTCCAATCCCAGTCTCTGTCTTCACACGGCCTTCCTCTTTGTGCGTCTCTCTGTATATCTGTGTCTCTTCTCTTCTTACCTGGACACTGGTCCCAGTAGTTTAAGGGCCGATCCTACTCCATTATGATGTCATCTTACTTAATTATATTTGCATTGTCTCTATGTCTACATAAGGTCACATTCTGAGCCACTGGGGGTTAGTACCTGCATATGTACCCCCGAGCCTAAAATAAGTTTTTGTTTTTAAGAAAAAAGATATTGAAGAAGAGATGAGACCACACATTTGCATGAACAAGGGAAAGGGGAAGTTCTAGAGATACATGCTCTACCAGCAGCTGCTCTCTAGGGGAGTTTGCTGAGCTCTGGGGCAAGGGAAGAAATGAGGACCTCTTCAGTGCCTAGAATTGGAGGCTAAGACACATTTTCACAGTCCGGAGGGGCAAGAGAGCTTCAATAACATGTTGAAAGAGATTTGTAAACATATCACTGATCTTAGATATATTTGGGGAGAATAATATTACTCTTACTGTGGCAATATATACATACTTTATTCCAATAAACTGTTTACCTAAAAATGATGAAAAGGTACCATTTTAATTCCAATTTGATTATTTGATCAATAAAGTGATGGGACACTTTCTGGAATTAAAATTAATCATTTTTAGGTATGCAGGTTATTGGAATAAAGTACATTCGCATTGTTAAGCAATCATCCTCACTATCCATCACTAAACTTAAATTTAGTTTTCCCAGCTGAAACTCTGTACCCTTCAAAGAATAATTCCTACTCTCAGCTCTTCCTAGCTCCTGACAAGCACCGTTCTACTTTCTGCCTCTATGAATCTGACAACTCTAGGTATCTCCAATAAGGGGAATTATAAGTTATTTGTCCTTTTCTGTCAAGCTAGTTTTACTTAGCATAATGTTCAAGGTTTATATATGTGGTGGCGTGTGTCAGAATACCCTTCCTTTTTAAGGTTATGTAATATTACAATGCATGCATATACCACATTTTGCTTATTCATTTATACACTGATGGGTATTTGAGTTGTTTCAATCTTTTGCTTATTATGAATAATGTTGCTAACAACACTGACACAAATATCTGTTTAAATACCTGCTTTCAATTATTTGCACTAGATACCCAGAGGTGAAACTGCTATGTTTAACTCTTTGAGAAACCTAGACATATTTATTTAACTGTAATTATTCTTAGCTCTTACATTTTCTAGAGGCTTTTCTTGAACATATGTTAGCACACATTTTTAATAGATACCCATAGAATCATATTTGAGATTGGAAAAGATTTTCTTTTTTTGTTGAAAGTGAGTGCCCTGTTGCCCAAGCTGGTCACTGCAACCTCTGCCTCCCAGTTCAAGCAACTCTCCTGCCTCAGCCTCCCAAGTAGCTGGGATTATAGGCGCCTTCCATCACGCCCAGATAATTTTTTTGTATTTTTAGTAGAGATGAAGTTTCACCATGCTGGCCAGGCTGGTCTCGAACTCCTAACCTCGTGATCCGCCTGCCTCAGCCTCACAAAGTGCTGGGACTACAGGCATGAGCCACTGCGCCTGGCCAGAAGCTAGATTTATATTAACTTATAAAATATACAGTGATTTCTTTCTCTGAAAATGTAAACAGATAATAGACAAAAGACAAGACTATATTTAGCAGTTTTTATTTGCCCCTAAAATCTCTGGTGATCAATGCTGGTAGGGAGAAAAAAAAAATTGATGCTTTGTCTTTTTTTGCATACATGTTAAAAGCTAAACATGTCATAGACAAAAAATGTACTTTGAGAGTTCTATTATTTAATATTGGAAACAAGATACTGACAGATATAAATAGATTTATGTTTTCAAAATGTATATTAACATGAATAAATTGACGGGACACTTAATTTTCAACATGTTTTGAAGTTCTTCAAAATGGTACTAAAGAGACTTATGAGTGTATAAAATTCATCACTCTACCTCCTTGAAAACACAGTCCCTTTTAATTTTTCTTTTTGTAACCCAATACGGAACTCTGAGAAATTAAAAAAGTTCTGATCATAATAGTGATTTGATATTTCTATCCTCTCCAGAAAATTTTATAAGCATCCCTGTGGCATAGCAGATGCCAATGTTGATTTCACAGAGCGCCACACAGGTAGCTTGTTAAAACTGTAGATTTCTGGGTCTATTCACTTATAGATGATTCTGATCCAATGGCTCTGCTCTGGGATTCATTCATTTTAAACACATCAGGTGATTTTAATACAAATAGTCACCAAATTGAAATGGAAAACATCACTCCAGAAGTATAGGCATCCGCATTTCTTTCATGATTGATTGACTTATTATTTATTTATTTATTTATTTATTTATTTATTTATTTATTTATTTATTTTGAGATGGAGTTTCGCTCTTGTTACCCAGGCTGGAGTGCAATGGTGCGATCTCGGCTCACTGCACCTCTGCCTCCTGGGTTCAGACAATTCTCCTGCCTCAGCCTCCTGAGTAGCTGGGATTACAGGCACGCGCCACCATGCCCAGCTAATTTTTTGTGTGTTTTCAGTAGAGACGGGGTCTCACCATGTTGACCAGGATGGTTTCGATCTCTTGACCTCGTGATCCACCTGCCTCCGCCTCCCAAAGTGCTGGGATTTCAGGTGTGAGCCACCGCGCCCGGCCCATGATTTATTTTTAACTCCACTTGTCGGGAAGAAAATGTCTCAGTAATTTATCACAACAGGATATGTAAATTCTCATGCTTGAGTTTTCACTGTTCACATTGACTCTAGTCTTGTAATATTTTCTACTAAAAACCAATCTCCTTTTCTGTCCACTGACTCCAACTCAGATTAGTTTCAGAACTCATGTTGTGAATTTTTTATTGCCAAAAATTCCCGTCTTGCTCTCATCCTGGCTTTAGCAAAACGTGGTAGGGGTATCAAGTCTTTCTTTTGCCTAGAATTAGGTGACCATACATATGTAGCCAGAAGATTACTTTTAAAATTTTTCTGAATATTAAATTCTAAAGTGGATAAGATACTGAAAGATTCTGGCATATCATGTTTGAACTGGGACTAACCCACGCATATCAAGGCATAGAGTCACTGTACTTATGACCAACATCTCAGGGCTGAGTACATTTTTAAATGATGCAAAGGTTTTTTTCAAAAATATTCTTTTCTCGTAAGTTTAAGGTTAATTTAAAAATATTTAATCAGCATTGACAATCAAAATCATGAGGTTTTCCTTTGCATTTTTCCAACAGATCTTGTTCTTTTTCTGGCATCCTTTTCTTCTAACATTTATTAAGCAGAAGTTCCTTTTTAGTCTTCCAAACCTTTTCCATCCCCACCTTCAGTATCCATTTTCTCTTGTGTTTGATCTTACATTGTACTGGAATGTCAATGGACCCACCCTTGTTTTCATTTTTCACTAAAATGCATGGATCACAGAGGAAAAAGGAAGTGAGGGAAGCTGTGGGCAGGGGGGTTTGAGTTCCTAGGCAGGAATAAAAAGGAATATAACTCCTCTTAGGAAGGGGTCCTTGGTGACAAAAAGAGCAAGGTTAAAACAACACCTTTCCCTCTCCGCAAACCACATGTACCACTGATGTAAAATTACTGTTTCCAAGGAGGCCACCTGCAGCAAGCGCAATCAGAGGCAGGCCAAGTACTTCTACCTGTGCTTTCTGCAAAGAGGGCACATGGAGGTTTATCAGGACGTTCATTGGGTCATATTAGTTGGCTATGAGGAAGAGTTTTTGTCATCTCTCTTAAGTCATATCCAAGTCACAACTCCAGAGGACTAGACTCAGAAGAGGAAGGGTTGGAGAATATATGTTTAAAGACCTTTTGTTTGACTGAGAGGGTAGAGGAAAACGAGCAGATGATGCCCCTTCCCTTTAGTCCCAAGGTTATTTGTGAACCCAAAGGTTGGGAAGACCCACTCAAGATGGGATGTTTTCACACTGAAAAACCGTAGACTCTATGCAAGGAAGAAGGAGACTTGATAAGCTGTAGTTACAGTTGGTGAATGAGATAAACTACCCTGATGGTACTCTATCAAGTTCAGATTGTTGAATTATCAAGTTCAGATTGTTGAATTATCAAGTTCAGATTGTTGAATTAATGGGTGTCCCGCTGTGTGTATGTGCAGGTACATATATGTTCTGTTTTGCTTAAATGCAAGTGGAAGCTAATTCAACACATGAAATCAGAAGTCAACACATGAAATCAGAAGTCAACACACTTTTCCCTAAAGTTAGCAATTTTTAGGATTTGGTGGTCATACTGTCACATTTTCCTCTCTTTTCTTTTAACAAGGTTTTAAAAGTGGAAAAACAATTATTAGACTGAGGGTCACAATAAGGTAAGCTTCAGGTTGAATTTGGCAGTCGGGCAGCCCTTTTGTCACCCTTGTTCTAAACGCTGCAATTTTCTCACTATAACTTGAACATATTTATATATAAATACATATCAATATGATTCATTTTTACATAATTTTGTAGTATCTTGATTTATAGATTTATAGGTTTCATTGACAAAATTATTTAACAAGTTATTCACTGATGGATGTATATGCATATATATATATATATATATATATGCGCGCATGTGTGTGTGTGTGTGTGTGTGTGTGTGTGTGTGTGTGTGTGTGTAGTCTTGCTCTGTTGCCCAGGCTGGAGTACAGTGGTGTGATCTCCACTCACTGCAATCTCCACCTCCTGGGTTCAAGAAATTCTGCCTCAGCCTCCTGAGTTGCTGGGATTACAGATGCCTGCCACCATGCCCAGCTAATTTTTGTATTTTTAGTAGAGATGGGGTTTCACCATGTTGGCTAGACTAATCTCAAACTCCTGACCTCAATGATCCACCTTCCTTGACCTCCCAAAATGATGAGATTACAGGCATGAGTCACCACGCCCAGACCTCACTGGTAAGTATTTAAGTGGTTCTCATTTTTGTCCTAGCAGAAAGTTACAAATCATTTTTCTTGGTTTGAGAAAACTACAGGTGATATGTTTATTTATTCATTTCTTTTAAACACAGATATTTAGTAGTGGTTAAGTAGAAAATAGAATCCATGTTCAGACTATCCC